CATAAAAAGGATATTTTTTTTAAATAATACGTTGTTAGTTTGGAAATTATTACAAGCACGATGTACTATATTTGACGTATTGTTTTTAAAGTAGAATTTTGTTAAAATAAATTAAGAATTAATAATTAATATATACAAAATAAAAATGTTGAGAGACAAGCTGAGTGACAATAACATATTGGATTTATCTATAAAATGGCACAGTTATGAAACGAAGAATAATTAAGAATCTTAAGGAAAATTTTAAGATAATATGAAGAGTATTTTGCTGTCATTATCTAGAGTTTCTCGACATTTTTGCATAAAGCTGCGATTAAGATTAATCAGCAAAATGATAATTAATCATTCATGAATGCGTTATTCTCTAGCCACGGACGGCGACAAACTCGTACAAAAACGCAGTCTATCTTAAGCGCCCCGTCATTAATCCCGCGCGAAGCGACAAAGCAACTGCATCGTCGCGAATGCAATGTCGACACTTCCGTTTCTCGCGCCGAGAATTCAATGGGTCCTCCTGCTCGAAAATCCGGCAGTCTGTTTCGCGAGTATTGCGCACGAGTAATTTGAATAAACCCTACCCTTTCTCCCTTCTCCCAAACGCTCCGTGCTCGTCTACTTTTAGCCCGACGAGAGCGAGGGTTGCCACGTACGGGGTGTAGTTGTTATCGAGCTCGAATACCCGCGAATTACTAACTTTCGTTTACGGAACTGCTGTTACAGAAACGTGCCGTCGTGAAATCGCACACATGCGGGGGTTACAGAAATCTCTCATACTTTTTGTACAGATGTACAGAAATCTCGTACTTTTTATGCGGATAACAAAGCAAAGCGAGATAATAAAATATAAAAATTATTATTATACATCACGGTTTCGGATGAATTGCGAAACTTAAAGGGGTTAGATCTCATTAAATTGAACAATTTTTGTCAAGTAACCGATAATACTTATTTGCTGGGCGTCAATTTTTAGTTTTGTTGTTTAATTTTTATACGGTTGGTAAAAAAAAGATCATTCTGTGTACATAAAATATGTATATTTAAGATTAAACATAGAAGGTAAAATATAAGATTAGATAAGGTAATAGAAATATGAAATAGTATAATATTTACAACATTTACAACAAATATTTACAACACCGAGATATATTTTTTTATCTTTACAAAGAATATACAAATACGATATAGCGCGGTCTGCATAATTTCTGTTTATATCACTGATATTGAACACTTAGCAGTAAATTAACACTTATCTTCTAAGAATGAATTTTTTATTTCAGATTATCTCTAATTTATGATTGAGAATATACAATATTGCATTTTTTAAATTTATTTTCATGATTCTACTATAATATATAACAAAACAAAAATTTTAAGATAGAGAGAATTAGTTAAAAAAAAACATGGACGCTGTACAAGAGAATATGAATATGAAATGAATATGAAATTTAAATAAATTTCCTCGAGAAATTCGATTCCGCATATTTGTAAAAGGATTTACGGTCGTGGAAAAATGTACCACTTTTCCAATACGTCCTGTTCACGTTACATATATGTGCATACTTCTGCATAGAAATGCATACAAGCTTATGCGATTAAACCAACGACATGCATGACATGCATATCGAAAAAATTATAAATACGTGATTTATACGATGGTGTGACAACATTAATTGTGTAATATATATATATATATATATATATATATCAAAGAAAAAAATTATGGTTAATTAAACGTTAAAAAAAGAGAGAATTTATGAATTATGTTAGAAACTGATGATAAAATTATTTCGGAAAAATGTTAAATTAAATGTATGTTAATAATTTCTAATTAATTAAATTCTGATATATTTTTATTCTTTCGTTTCATTTAGAAGTTTCGAAGAACATTTCTGTAAAATAATTTAAAGACAGAATCAACGAAAAAAAGAAACGCTGTAATGTAAGCAGTACGGTTGTCCATTTTTATAAACCAACCAGGTGTCAGTAGGACAATCTTGCTATTTGTGTATTTATCCTGTATATAATAAGCAAAGTGCCACGCATGTGAGCAGATGGTAATGGACGCTAGCCTGCCTTATGCTGCCTTTGTTCCTTCGGGAATTCGCTATATATGGCATTTTGTAGATTAGGTAAAGGCAGTTACTTGCGATCGTATCACCTGCGCAACATTACGAGTGAATTTACATTTTGTACAAACAGTATTTCAAGCTTTAGAGAGAACCCTCGGTATATTATCGCGTTACATATTCAATTTCAGATTAATTTTTAATCAATAAATTCTCGCAGTCTGTACGTGATATTTTAATAAGCGTACGAAGAATTTTTTATTATCTTAAATAATTGATGCTAAAATAATCATAAAATTAACTTTGTATAAAATTATATAAAATTATAATAGATAAAGATGAACTTATTAATTAATTTTATTGATTTTTAAGACTAATAAAGAAAACGTTGTTTCGACGATAAATACAATCAAATGATTTTACTGAAAATCATGATTTTCAAGTTGACTCTATCGTTTGAGGATAATCGCAAATATTTATCTACAGTTTACATATATCAGAATGTTTGCACTCTGCTCTAATCTTGATAAGGCTATTGTTATATATAGTTAATTTCATCGTTAACTGATATTTCCTGATGTTGCGACGACAGCATTGCCTGATGACGAGCGCTTCCTATGTCATAAACGATGACGCTTCGGTGCTTCGAGGTCGAGTTTCCGATCGATTCGTTGTTCACGTCGTCCATAAAGCTGACGAATCTTTGACCCCGAGTTTCCTGGTTTCGCGCAAATCGTGTTGAATTCCTTCCGAGAGTGCAACGCTCGCGTGACGTTCGACAGGGAGATATTTTCTTGGGAAAACGAACGTTTCCTGCTGATCAAAGAATGACATAGGTAAAACCGCTGATTGAACGCGACGTGAAACTCGAGCAGGAGTTTCGAAATCGCACGCGAACTGTAGTTTATGTAAGCTGAATTTGTGTTTTCAAAGAGTGACAAGTCAAGCGTGCATCTTCATTACCATTATATAATATTTTTACGTTAGATTAAAATGTAAATGATAAAAAATGTTCTGACAGCCAGAAAAAAATATATTACGGTATTGTTATTCACTTGCATCCTTGAAATTTACATTGACGATATTCTAAGTTTTAATAGAAAAGTTTTTAGAAATACATCTTTATTTTTAAATTAAAATTTTAATATCAAAATTTGGGAAATATGAAGCTTATTTTTATGTATAATTTTGGATGAATTTGAGAGCAATTTTTTTTACAAAAATTTACAAAAAGAAATTTGACGTTTTCTTATTTATACATCAATATCGTTGTATTAATATCATAATAGTTTTATCATAAAACTAATATATTCTTTAATAAAAGTGTTCTTATAAAAATGTAGAACGTAGCAACATTGATGTAATGTCGATAATGTCAAAAGTTTTAATATAGAAGCTTTGAGTAGCGAGTTTTGATTTAAACAGCGACTTAACTATAAACAACTCTTTTTATTTTATGTTGAAACTTATGGAATATCGACGACATAAATTTCAAAACTGCATGTAAATAACAGTTTACTGTTTTTAATTAGCAGATGAATTTTGTTCTAATACAAAATTAATTTAAAGCTTGATTGCAAGACTAAAGTTGAAAAATAAAATATTGCAAAGAACAATAGAATACATTTGAATTTTTTATCGATATCAATTTCAATCAAACCTGATTTTATTAAAAAAATTAAAACTAGGTAATTCTATTTCAATACATTTTCTGTAATATGTATTAATGCAGTAGGAAAGATGATATGTTACAAAACTATTAGAATTAATCAACGAAATTATGTTGTACATAAAATGCATGAAAAAATACATCTTCTTTTATTATCAATATCAAGGATAGTATATATCGATATTTGGATAATTAAATAGGAATTGCTTTTATTAGATTATTTTACATCAGAAAACAAAGAAAAAAAAGACAGAAAAGGAAAATAATATTTAATGGACCATTTTAGACAAAATATTACAAAAATGTCCGACTGAAATTGAATATTCTCACCTAGATTCATACAAACGTTTGCGCCGTAACTGTGCTTTCGCGAAATGCATACTAGATGCGCCGCTTTACGTCATCGTGCAGCTACCGTTTGTACAAACGAAGATATTTCGGGAATCCACCAGAGTAGAGTAGCCTCTCTTCTTTGAATATTCCGGTGGAATCCTTGTATTGCTTATACGAATTTGCATTGCTATATATGGAGGAATGCATCACGGATGGGATAAAGCGATAAGATGACAGTACAATTAACATTTCAATTGGCAATTTACGAATTATTCATTCTCTTTGTGAATATATCATGAAGTATAGTAATATCTTGCGTCAAACGCGCCGGTAATGAATGAACAATGAGATCAATCCTATCTTTACGCGAGCCATTTGATCAAATATTTAATAGGCCTGGCTAATAACTTGGAATAACTTTGAATTATAAATTACAAAGTGTCTTTATTCTTGGTCTATCTTTTGCGTGCAGGTATTACAAGAAGAAGCGTGCGCTAACTGAAAGTTAAAAATAATAAAAAATATATATAATTACATTTCATGATTTGATATAAAAAATATAAAAATATAAAAACAAAATTACAAATATTTAATTCTTTTTTTAATTATTATTTAATTTTATATATATTATATATTTGTAATAAAATGTACAAGTGTTAATTTTGATTTACATAACAATTAATTTATATTTTAGTTAAATGAGAAGATTAAAATAAGAGTTATGTGTTTTATTATTGTATATATAGATTTATATTTAATAATGATTTTGTCTTCCTAATTTTTTGTTTC